TTCACACCATTACACAGTCAGATATCGATAAAGCCAGAGAGAATAAGAACACATTGAAATCATCACCGAAGAAGAAAAGGAAAACGAGTTAAATTTTTATAKAATTTTTTGGATGGGAAGAAACGATTATATCCGTCTGACATGCCCGGCCGTATAAATTGCGCGGGAATTTACTTTTTTAAGAGCAAAATTCCAAAGATTGTTTGTCGATGTGATGGCATTCTGATTTTTGTTCGTCCGCGATAAGATAAAGAGAAGTWTTTTTGTCTGCTCAAAACGTCTACCCTTGTGGGGGAAAAATGACAACCATTTCAATGCTATAATGTTAATACYATGGCTACCAAACCGAAAGGCGTGTTATCTACCAGTAAAAAATATCAAAAAATCAATTTGTAGTTTAATTTTGGCTATTGTTAACTTAAKGAATTGTTCAATAATTTGGCATTTTATGTGACGGGATATTTATAGAAGTGAATAGCTTGGTTGAGGTAAAGATGTTTGTGGGACAACGTCATTAGTGGCCTGATGTCGTTGTCATGGAAACATCTCTTCCAATGAATTATTTGAGAAAAGGAGATCCACAAAATATCATAATAGGTGATATGCTACATATCGAAATAATTTTCGTAAAATACATTCTATATCAATAAACAATTCACAGTAAGTAGTAAATATTTTAATTTTTGGTATTTTGTCTTGAATATTGTTAGGAAATTACACTATTGAAGAATTTCTTTTTTGAGCTCCAAGTTTTAAAGCTGACCTATAGTATACAAGCATTCTCTTGGTTTAGGGCCAACCAAGATATTTAWTGAGGACAATTCGTTTTTCAGGAGTGTTTTTTAATGAATACCTGGTATTCTGAAAGCGCGGTGTAAGCAGTTCTATGAGCAAACGTTGATAGTAGATGCGGAAGCTGGGCAGTAAAAATAGTTGGTCGAGCGCCCCCTAATGGAAATTTGTAGCGCGCTGCAATTTTCCGGCTAAACATAGGAATGSTGATTRCATGTGATTGAGAATACATTATCGGGCGCTACAGGATCCTAGTTTATTACGGAATTCAAATGATTTGTTGCATGCCCAGTGAAAGTGCAATTATAGAGATGCGCAATTAACCCATAAAAAAAACAACTCGGCAGTTTCCATAAAAAAAGGAATTGATTATAATTTAGCACATATTTCATACTATTTTGTTTGGAAGGAGTCACTTCTTCAATTTCTTTTCTTTCAGTCTGTAAGATCGTAAGATTGGAAGCTTGGCTGAGTATCTACACCCGCGCGCGCTCAATTTCACTCCTTTGCAAAATTCAATCGTCCACTGAGTAGGAACATGCAACGTCGGTGAACGATGTGCTAATGCTTGTAACAGTAACCTTTGATGTTTCCTTTTCGTTGACCTTRAGAGAAATTTGCTTAGATTTCTATATTTTTTGACGAAAGTCCATTTTTAGTCGAAATTTTGGCTGTTGTAGCTCTGCCGGATCAAACCGCTCGCATGTGACTRACGCCCTACTCTACRTAATCTTGTGATCGTATGATATTTTCCAAAAATAGTAGTATAAATTACTATTAATTTTATTGACAGCTGCTTGTTAATTYTGTTTTTAATAAGCATAAAGGGATTTTTTTTTTTATACCAATGGCGGTATATAATGTTACCCGGGTTTGCGGAAAAACTGCCACGGTCGAGTTTAGTAGCAGTTTCCAACCGGAATTTTATCGATTTTGCAACCATAAGTGGCTAATCATGAACAAGGAAATACTTCACGGTCTTTGCAGTAAACGGAGTTTTTGCGTGAGAATTYAAAAGTCTTTTTATCCAACGAAAAATAAAATGAAAAATTTTGAATGAATTATGAACGAGGTAAGGTGGTCTGATAGACCGGAAGTAAAATCTCACGTGACGTCACATATGGGGTGATCCCTCGTGTGTTGTTTAAATATATGCAAATTGTCCAGTCCAASTCATTGACAGAACAGCGTAAACCAAGAATGGCCGYGTTTCGGGCGATTTTCCTCTMYTTTCTWGTATTCYTCGTCTTAAATTTACCTTCAGCTCAAAGTTCAGGTATGTTTAGTTGTTTAGGAATGGCTACTTTGGTATTTGGCCGCTGTTTTGGTTCAGGTTTGTAATACTACGTCGCGCCATTCAGTTTCAGTGACCACACTCTTCAACGAGCTTGGTTTTGAATTGCCGAAAAAGTCCGCCGAAATACAAGTCGTGAAAAAGCGCTTTTCGAAGTTATTACAATGGCTATGAATTCTCGCAAACAGACTAAAACAGAAAATATAGATTTGAATAGTCATGAGCGATTCTGTTAGCGGGTTTTTATGAATATTGCAAACGTAACACAGACAACTCCCCTACCCCTGCACACACCCTCGCGGAAAATGGAATGTGGCTTTTTTGCAATAAGATTATGAAATTATATAACTGTACATGAAGTTCTGTATAGATTGGAAAACCAGCGACTTGGAATAATTACCAAGTAACTTGTTATCGTGACCAGCTTGTAACCATGAATTCAATTCTCTTGGTAACTAGGCTTTCCTTGTTCATCTTCGCAATACACCTGTAAAAATCAACGTTGTGTCCAGAAAAAATGGCGATGCGACGGCATGGATGATTGTGGAGACAATTCCGATGAAGCAAATTGTCGTAAGTGTTATCAATTCGCCATGGATTCTACCAGAAGCCCTGCGAATTTTGAATCGTCTGGATGCCTTTTGTTATCGTTTCGCTGTTTGGCACAGTGTTTACGTTTCGTCGCACAGGATTGTGTACAAAGCCAACTCGTCGAATGTTCGTTTAATACGTTAAAAGTTTGTACAAATTTTKCGACTTRCAATCAGTTCATTSCATTCTTTTTATTCGTGCCATAGTKCAAAAGGGATTTTTCGTGCGGAATACGTTTCTAAGRGAATTTTGCAGTGAACTTGGTGTCTCGTTAGTGTGAGSTCATTCACAATTGATACGTCAACTCGGCAGGTCATGTTTATTTTCTTTATTAATTTCAATCCTTTATTCCTAGAAGTTGCAATGTTAGAATCATGTCTYAGTAAAAGATCTTTTTTATTGTTGTTTTATTTGCTAAAAAGACTTTAGAACTTGTGTAGGAAATACCGGACGTGTTTGAAAAGGAATGTACAACTTGCACGAATTTTCAATGAAGTTCGCGCCAAAATATCGTACAGTTTTATACCTCTAACTGACAATATTCATTTTATTTCCCTTTGAAATGTAAAAWTGATTATTTTCAAGGCGTTTTCGTTGGACCTTTAAAKGTTTGTAGGGTATATTTGAGCAGGTTTTTGGCTTTGTTGTCATTTGGCCGTTAGTTTCCTTTCAGCCGGCTTCCCGTGGGCGGCATGAAGGCGTGACGATTTGTCATGCTGTGATTGGTCAAATCAGCACGGACCATACTCGTTATTTACATACCATCGTGCATTCTGTCATAGTGTTGTGGAATATTTATAACTCGCTGTTACTACGACAAAAACCAAACATTTTGACTGGCATATCGTTATCATTGGCTAGAATTCCTGTCTTCTCGTATAAAAATTGTATATTTTTCAATGAAAATCTTTTCTAAGATAGCCTTTAGTAAAGAAATGTTCTGACTCAGTGAGAAACGTTGTCCGTGCATATTCAAAACACGGAAATTTGTTTTATTCATAAAAGCATTTCTCGAGGAGAATTTGAGTTATTTGACTATTGAAAAGTTTCCATGGTTTCTTGGATTGTATTCTCTTTCAAAACAAAGAATATTTACAAGTATTGGAATTTGAATTCTTAACATTTTTTTTTTGAATTTGAATTCTTTACATTTTTCTGGAATTGATATTTRTGACTTGCTGAATGCTGATCTTTTCAAAGTAAATGTTTATTTCTATCAATGTGTGTACAAATATAAGACCTTTGAGTCATTTTTGTTTAAGCTAACTAAAACAATAATAACAAAAGCCAAAGAAAAAAGTAATTCAACACTAATCTTGATTTCTGCCTGTGTTGTTKATGGTAATGATTTCTCTTGATATTATCAATAAATTTCATATTCAAGAAGCTAATTTTGGAAAATTGATATTGATATGGCAGCAAAAAATGTATTATATATAGTATTAAAGTTCAATCGTAATTCATCGAGTTCTAACACATAATCCTTATGACAATGTACAAAGAACAAAAGGCATCCAATTGATCATATTATGATAAATAAACTAATCCCTGTTAAGCTTATAATCATCTCACGTGCATTTACTAGTAAACAAGTTAGCAGGTCTTGTAGTGGCAAGTATAATGATATTATATGCATGTGCACATATCACATTTCCATTATGCAGTAATACTGTTATAATTATTGCTTTATGCATTCATTAGCACAATTATTMGYTCACACTGCATTTATAATGCCAGGGTAGTAGCGAGGTGCATGGGACCAGCTCTGTTTTGGGGATCATTGATCACATTTCCACCATATTTTAGGTTCAAGGAGCAGAGTTTTATATTTTGAATCAAGATCAATGTCCAGGAACCAACAGTTCTTTAGTGATTGGCAACTATCAAGGATCAAAATTGTCATTGTTTTKGGTATTTTGTCATTTTAGAGACCAAGGATCAGACTTTTGGCCTTGGGATCAGGGGTTGCAGAAAAAATACCCTTCAATTGCACMAGGGAAAAAAAMMAMACAAATGCACTCCCAATGGGGTGAACATATTTCCTACAAATATTAAACCACAAAATGTTTATATTTCAGCACCAAGAACRTGCAGTGCAATAAATAACTTCACCTGTAATAATGGAAGATGCATCCGAAGAAGTTGGGTGTGTGATGGAGCAAACGACTGTGGAGATAAAAGTGATGAAAAAGGATGCCGTAAGTTATACCTGACATGTTAGGTCATTATTGCTAGTCTATTACCATTATAGGCCTGGATCAATTCCCGGTGCACAAACGATTTGAGCTTTCTTTGAGTTTGTTGAACTGCATAATGTTGAATGCATGTGCACGTCTCGGCAATATTGAACGTGTTTTCTTTGAACTCTACATTGATGTTCAAAAAAAGTTAATGTTGTTGAAACTAGTGTTGAAAGGTATTTGCACTATTTACTGAGCTCGACACTCATATGTATAATGTTATGTATTGTTTAATTCTTAGACTCATTTTTCTTCTTCCAACAGCCACACCTACCCCACAAACATGCCCTCCAAATGAATTCACATGTAAAAATGGACGATGTATACTCAGAGATTTTCTTTGTGATGATGAAGATGATTGCGGWGATGGCAGTGATGAAGTAGACTGTGGTAAGTATGTAGTAGAAAAAAAGTATTATTTGGTTCTTGATAAATTCTCTGATTTTTATGCATTTTTATTGTAGCGAGGACATGTACTGCTAACGAATTCAAATGCGATAATGGCCGCTGCATTTCAAAGGATTTCCTCTGTGATCATGAAGATGATTGCAATGATATGAGTGATGAAAGAGGATGTGGTAAGAACCAAACCTCTTTTTCCTTATTTAATTACCACTAATTATTTTTTTAGCAGTCGAATTAATTTTCCATGACTTTCTCCCAAATTCCTTATATAATTTGGCATTATTGATAGTCATGCAGGAAAGCATGTTAGAAATTGATATTTATTGAAAGATTATAGCCAATCTTATCTTCAGTTCTGATGATTATAACAAGTAGTGTTGTCTTATTTCAGCAAATCGCACTTGTGGTCCTTCAGAGTTTACCTGTTCCCTGAGTGGTCGCTGTATCCCTGCACGCTTTCATTGTGATGGAAATGAAGACTGTCTTGACAGCTCCGATGAACACAATTGTCAAAATGGTGAGTTTTCTGGTGTTATTAGCATCTTTAAGGCTCCATCTCTATTCTCATCCATTTTTATCATTGATTTTGTGTGCTTGCAATCTCTCATACTAGAAGAATGCTGTCATTACAGAGGAGTGTTGACATTTTGAATTTTTGAGTTTTTTGAGGGTTTAAATTAAAAAGCAAAAAATGATATTGACATATCCGCCTTGTAGATGAGGCTAAAATCTTTGTGAATCATATTTTGCAGTTACCAAGCCAACGAGACCACCAGCTATTTGTAGAAAAAATGAACGAGTCTGTGATGATGGCACACAATGCGTTCATCGTGACTGGATTTGTGATGGTAGCAAAGACTGCCGAGATGGAAGTGATGAGAAGCAATGTGGAATCATTGGATGTACAGGTTTAGAATTCACTTGCTCCAACCAAGTGTGCATCCCCAAAGACCAACGCTGTGATGGAAAAGATAATTGTGGGGACAATAGTGATGAAAGATCTTGTCGTAAGTGTCTTTAAATGAAGAATATTTTGTCTTTCAATTACTTCAATTTTCTTGAACTTGACCTTCTCTTATGTACTCACTTTGAAATCACAACATTGCAAGTGTCTTCTTTGTATTCACATGCAATTGTGTATATCCAGTCGTCGTGGCAGAAATTCCTTGCATGCATTCATATTTTCGGCATAAGTTTCATGAGATTGCATTAATGCTGGTGTTAATGTTTCTTGATGTACAAAGTTGAAAACTCTTGCAGAAATTTTAAACCAGTCTGTCTGTGTTATAAACATTCTCAAACTCAACAGTTTTAATTATTCTACTACAGTTAAATGATTCATGAACTCTGAGACGTACTTGTAGAATCTAACTTGTAGTTTCAACAACTTTCTATGACAATCTAGCTACCACAGCGCCAACTCTCAAATCTCGACTGACTATTCTTCAGCAAAATGGAAATAGAACTGCTCGCAATGATCGTAAGTATATGCGCATCAAAATAATAACACAGATATGAGATTCCATGATGCCTGGTGCATTTTTAAATGAACTGATAAGAAAATTTTGAATGATACAAGAGTTATATGCAGTAAAACTAAAAGGAACATTAAAATTAAAAATGGTAAAGTGTAATAAAATAAAGCAAACTTGTAAAATGTGATTTGAAAGTAATTATAAGAAAAATATGTAAGTAAACTTGACTAACACTTAATCTAATCAAAACKTTATACTGACATATTTATTGTCTACTTTGATTGAACATTTCCATACTATTTCTTTCTTTTTTCTTTGATTTCTATTCTTTTTTGTCTTATTCAGTTATTTGTTTGCTTCATTACTTGTGTTCATTAAGTTTGATTATTAGAAATAGA